TTTAACAATTGTAATGCACTATCGTATAAATTCTGAAGACGAGTATATGAAAATTGGGACGGTACTTTATTTATTTCACAAGCAGACTGTATCGTCCGACTTCGGTACCTTATCTGTATTGTTTCATGTTATTTCGCAAATCCTACCTGTTCCACGAACCACCTGAATCAATCTCGAGACTAGTTTACGAGATAAAGCGTGCAGCCAGTGCGGCTCGTGGCAACCTCAAACAATATCAAACCAGCAGCGGAAACCAAAGGACAGGATGTTTCGTTAATGTGCACTGCGTAACAAATGTGACTAAAAATTCAACGACGCACGGTGTATTGAAAGAACTATTTCAGTGTGTGTGCCACCCCAAGGCGTTACACTCCTGTGAACATATGACAGCGCTGTTAGGAGTTCACTATGAGGGTGAGTGTTCCTTCATACATACAGGCTTCGTAATCTCGGTACAGAGATCTGCCATCCTGAATGAGATTTTAGCCTCTCGAAATAAGTAGTTGATTATTGTGTGTTCAGTGTACGATGCAGATAAATGTGAATGGTGAATCCAAAAGAATAAAATTCTAAGTGACAGAAACGTCCGAATGTATCAATATCCTTGTACACTATTTCGTAGCATATGAGCTGGTGTTTTGAGTTCGGGAGTAGATGGTCACATGATCGAGTTCTGCTCGGGTCAGGTGCTTTTATTATTTCTTGCGTTTGTAATGTCACAGAACGATACTATTATCAGCAGCTTAGAATACTCTTTGCAATGATTTTGTCATCTTTAGTCACCATTTGCTTACCCTTAGGCATATCCTAAAGTAGATGGTATTACTTCAGCTATAAATAATCATGTTTCTTTCTTTGATTTCAATTATTAACCTGTTTGTTTGCTAGTAATTTAATAATTATTATTATTTAAGTAATATAATTGAATTATATTACTTAGGTATCGTATTTAGCCCATTCACTTATGAAATATTATTCAATAAATGAATTGAATTATCATTATTATTATTAATATGGTACATTTATATATTTAGTTTTGTTTGTTTGTTTGTTCTTGTATTTGTAATGTTTTACTTTCATTATTATTGAATTTAATTTAATTATTTATTATATCTTATCCTGTACTCTGGTTTAGTGCTTGGCTGTTATTGGCCTTATTTGGCTGTTGCCAATCACTTAAATTAATGAATTGAATTGAATTATTGAATGAATTGAATTGAATTTACTTTATTTTCTTTGTGCTGTATCTGTAATTGGCCATCTGGCTGTTGATTCAGCACTCTAATAAAAGAGAATTGAATTATATCATATATTATGGAACACATTACTATGTACAGATTATAAGTTAAATTTGTTGGATAACCTCAGAGTTCCAAACGTCGTCATATTTGTAAATGTTGATTTATACAAGGAATATCGGACGCTTTGATTGCAGATATGTTTATAATATCTCTATAAAATAAATTTCATATAAAATTTCACACGCCCAGCTACAATGGTTCGTTAGTTTTTGAAGTCAATCTGAAAACCAAAGAAATCCTCGCATCAAAGGTTAATAAGGTAGTATATTTGCGTCATATTGTGAATTAAGTTAATATTTTAATATTTTCCGTCAAATCACAATTTTTAATAATAAGATAATAAAATATAAATTTACAAATCGATCATTCGATGCGGAACGTGGAATGATATTTTAAATATTTTATATTTTATTATCTTATTATTAAAAATTGTGATTTGACGGAAAATATTAAAATATTAATCAAAGGTTAAGTTTAAATAAATGTCAAATTATTTTCTCTGTTCCAGAAAGCGAAGATGACTCGAATAATCATCCTGGCGGCCTTTTCATTCACGCTTCTTTACACATTTGCGTGTCATTATCACACAACGGTAACTGGGCACTTTGGCAAAAGCGGTTTCTTAACTAATTTACTCACAAGGAATGGCACGGATAATAAATCTCAAACAAACAGCGAAATAATAGAACTCGGATACACGAATGAACTAAGAGAAGGAAGTCACGATGAATCAGAATTAAAAATAAACGCAAAAGAAATAAATCCAGAAAAACTCACAGAAACCAATCGGGTCAACATCATTGAAAATACATCTGACCAATCACAACCATCAAAAATGACTTCAATTAACGAGACTACACCCGTACCAGCTACTCAAACTACTTTCCCGGAAGAAAATCACGGTGCAGCTAGATGTCAATATAATTTAGAATGGACAGATGTTCATACGGAACCAGTTCGTGGGGACAACCACATTATATTTCTTGAAACACGATGCGTGTTAAATGACTCGAGGACTATCAATCAATCAGGTCTGATTATACATCAACGTGGAGCTTGTGCTGTTGAATCAGCTGCTAAGATGAATCCAAATACAAAGATATATCTAATTTATACCTGTTCGATAAATGGCAGACTTGAGGATTCACCAGAATACGTGAAACAGATGTTGTCGTATTCAAATGTGAGGTTATGGAAACTAGATATTTCAGACTACGTTAAAGACACGCCAATGGAAAACTGGGATTTTACTGGCAAAGTTAAATCATCGAAATGGCCACTATTTCATTCCAGTGACATACTGAGGTACCTAACCCTCTGGAAATATGGTGGCACATACCTCGATCAGGATTTTGTAATTTTAAAGTGAGTATAATATTAGTGATCTTAAAACTTTGCATACCGTGTAGTGTATTAGAATATTATAATATTAGTGATTGATACAAACAATGTCATTAGAAACGGTTCATTTCCCCGTGGAACATTTTGTGATCAGAGTCTGAAACCTATAAATTGCAGGTACTGTATAGTGTATATTGTTACGTTTATTTTGCAATATGTGAAACAAATAAAAGCATACAGGACTGATCATGTCTGTCCGTCCATCTGTTTGTCTTCATGAATCAAGGCGATAATGGTTGGAAATATTTTGATGAAATTTGCTACAAACGTTATGATATTCGAGGGTACCAAAAACACGTACTTCTTAATTTTCTATAACCGTTAATTCCTATATGGCGGATACACACGTGATTTTTAAAGGTACAAATGACAATTGTGTAAGAATACTTCTGTCTAAAATCAACAGGTCAAAGTATTTATACATCCTCCTATGTGGTGTATATTGCATCACTTAATAGAATTAAGTCGAGGCCCTGTGTTTCACAAAATAAAATTGAGTAACATACATTTGCGTAAATTTCTGTAGTTTTGTATATCAGCTAGACGCATTCAGAGTGCAAAGTACACATGTGGAAACTGTGTTCCAGTTGCCACATTTCACCTTAATAATTTTGTTTAGACATTGTGGATTTAGAAATAAGAATATGAAGATTATAATGCCAACAATTTATTTCTTTGTAGTCGTAATATTACTGAGAATTTGTAGTGAAGTACTCATGACAAGCTCTCACATAAAAGTGTCAAAATATATAATTCTGCTTCCCAAAATTTAAAAACAATCGTGACTGACATCTCGCCCAAAAATTTTCGTTTGTTTCGTCAACATCAGGTCGCTGGACGCCCTGGGAAGAAATTACGTTGGGGCACAGTCTCCGGGATACATCGCCAGTGGAGCCTTGGATTTCGCCATGGACACTCCCGGTCGAACAGTAGCCCACTTGTGCCTCCGTGATATTCTAAGGAACTTCCAGGGGCAATCATGGGCCCAAAACGGCCCAGCAGTTATCACAAGAGTTCTTGAACTCATTTGTGGAACCAAAACTGTAAGTGTTCGTGTTAACACGAGAATATCAATGTCTCCAATCTGTCATCTTCTGTCAGATCACTATCCGATAACATCGATAAACAGAATTGCAAGACGTCTCATTTCTTGTTCATGTTACGACATCTTACACGTAATTTACACTCAGGAAGATGATAAGATGGTTATAAATGACACATTAAGTTCGTGGAAAAATGCTCTAGTAGCCTATTTGAAGTACTGAACACGCATTCTCACTTTAAAAATTTGTGAATTGTCGTTGTCATCAACCAATTTGTCGTCAAAAAATGACGTCATCAAACAATGTTACGTTATGTTTGTTTACTCGGCATTGTTGTACCAACACAACAATGCCGAGTGAACAAATGACTTGAGTAAGACACTAAGCTAACCCCCCCCCCCCCCCCGGGGGGGGGGGGGGGGTTTGTAGTTTAGTGTCTTACTCAAGGTTTTACAACGCAACCAACTCCCCTGAAGAGGGGGCTGGTCTGGTGTTTTAACCCCCCATTCGGGGGGGGTTGGTTTAGTTTCTTACTCAAGATTTTAAAACGCAACCAACTCCCCCCAAAGGGGAGGTTGGTTGCGTTTTAAAAACTTGACCAACCCCCCCGAAGAGCTCCGATAGGAGCGCTCTGCTCTAGTTTACTTACATTTTGTGAACATTTCTATAACCGTATCTTAAGCAGCATTTCTTAAACAACATAGATTGTATAGCACGATATGGTAGAATAATCTCGAAAGGAAGGAGTCATGGCGTATTTAAATTACGAGCATACAGCCCAGCCTTTTCGGAATTATGACGAGGACGCGAAAATAAAAGTCTGTCAATAAATGGCGCTGAAACAAACAAATTACCGACATCACGCTGTGTTCAACTTCCTTCTTTACAAGGATGTGCTGAATAGATGGAAGTATTTACGTGTGAAATATAATATAAAATTCTGGGACATGCTAGTTCAAATAACCGCATTAAACTGCGAAAAAGCCGCGTAAATAATTAAGAAAATAAAATTATAAAAAATATAATAAGCCTTTTATGCCACGCACTAAACATGTATTCTTTCAACAGATAAATGAAATGACCAGGAAGGAATGTTTAGGATTCGCCGTATATCCACAAAACGTATTCTACACCATTCCTTATCAGTCTTGGGCATTATTATTTGATGAATCACGGACCAGCGATACCATGAAGAAGGTGGAAGGCAGTTACGGAGTACATGTCTGGAACAAGATGAACAGCGAAAAGAATATCGATGTAGGATCGAAGTCAGCGTACAGTCTGTTGGCAGAGAAACACTGCCCCCGGGTGTACTGGAACTGTGGACCTACATTCTGATTTCTCTTTAACTCACTGTCCTTTGTACCTTAATATGAAACATTTTAAATAAACAATTTCTAATTTATAATTCTCACTCGATGTTATTATTTTTATTGTAAGAAGCAATTACATATTTGATATTTTAGGTTCTCACAGTGGTTAGGATATCGATTTTTAATCTTGCGCTGACAAATTTTCCTACGAAATCTTATTAGATAGGTTTAAATGGTTTGGTGAGCTAGCTCACGGGACTCAGGGTCGAGTGATGTCAGAAAGCAATGGTCTGTGCGGAGTCGAAGAATTGGAAAAGGACCGAAGAGTTGTGAAGAAGATAATATTATCCAATACTCTCTGCTGTGTTAATTTTCTAGTGATGTGCAGTGTAGTGAAATCAACTTTCCTGTGTTGCATACTGTGGTGATATTTTATTTGAAGTGTACTGTACCCGGTCTGCTGCCATCCCTTCCAGCAAACTTGTCGTAAGTGACTCGCTCCGAGGTTCCAATTCACAAAGGTCAGCGGCCAAAAACGCTGGAGCGCAGTATAACCCCACAGTCTACGTTATAAACAAAAGACAAGAACATGTCCCTCTATATTATTATTATTCAGTGTTCTGTCTTACGACAGGTCCATTGCTCTGCCCAAAAAGAGCTCTCCAGTTGTCCCTATTCTCGGCTTCTCGCTTTAATTCCTGGAACGTCATCTTCTTTCCTTGTTTAAGGTCGTCGGTTAGCTGTATCAATCTTCTTCCCAGTCCTCGCTTTCCTTCAACCTGGCCTTCGATGATATCACTCAGTAACCCATTCCTTCTCATAATATGTCCCAGCCAGTTAGCTTTCCTTCGTGTAATCGCATGCAGAATGTTTCTTTGCTCGTTGACTCTCCTCAATACTTCTTCGTTGGTCAATTACTTAAATTAAATTAACTCCGTGGCGTAACAGCTCCAGGGAGCCAAAACCAACTAGCTTGACTGCTGGCCTCACGTTCACATGCCTAAGCAGAGGTGAACGATCATCCAACCAGATATAGGGTGACGTGTGGTCAGCACGACGAACCCCCAGCCATTGCTAGTTTTACTGACCGGATTACACTACTCACCCTAAAATGGAATTCAAAACATAATTTGAACAAAGATTTCATGTACCATAATTATATAAATATATTGGTCACAAATTTTATAATCCCAAGAAGTCCGTTAATTTCGGCACAAACGAAAGTGAGTGACTTTGGCCTTGCGTGTAACCTTACCCTGACCACTCAATATAATCTATATTGTTCTGAACGCATTTTACTTCCCTGTCTCGGCTACTTTACAAAGAACTGTAACTTTACATGACACGTCAGTAATAACGGGAAATCCACATTGGAATCTAAGCAGCGCCTTCCTTCTTATCGGCGATATTCGGATTTTAAAAAATATCTTAAGCCGTGTCATCTAATCATCCGGTGTACTGATTACCGTCTACAAGTTCATGTAGCAATATCCTGTAAGATAAGACAATGAGACAACTTAGTAATTTATTAATTAAGTTCGAACCAAATATACAGCGACTGATGATAACCCCAAGGGGTTGAAACGCGCTTGGTAAATAAATAAATGCTAGTCTACTGACAAAAATAGTTGGTTTGTGGTGTGATTATCAATAATTGTAAGCTAGTGACGTCTTTCCATTTCATCTGGTTGCTCAATATCTCTATAATGGACGCAAAATATCTGCGAGCCTCAGCTGCGTCACAGTAAGAGACTAAAGGAATATATAAAGAGCACGGGGACAAGATTTTTGTGGACTACGGTATCCCCTCGCTCCCCGTACCTCGGCTGGCTTAGCCGATAACGTATTTGTAAATGTCTATAAGGATTCGGGTTCGATGTTTTTCTTGGCATCTTGTTTTAGACATGTGCACATGACTATACCATATTCAACTTTCAGTGGCTTCATTATGCTACATTTGGAACCAACACTTCTGTTCCATGAGGTCAAATGCTTCTCATTACCTTTTATACTATGTACTTAAAACGCCACGGTGGTCTAGCGGTTAGAACGCTGGGGTCTCGGGTTCGATTCCCGGCGGTGCCCGAATTTATAACTTGTGTTGGGCAAGGCCGTGGTCTAGGCAACACGGAGGGTTCCTCCGGGGGCTTCCCCGGTTTCTCCGTGGCATCCCAACAATTACTCCATTCACACACAGAAGAAGGCAATGGCAAACCACTTCTGGATCATCTGCCAAGAACGTATATGAACAGGTCCCAGTCCGAGAAAAGGATAGAAGGATCCTGTTCATATGGACCTGTAGTCAGACAGAACAATAAATAAAAAATTCCATTAATGATCAGACACGACCTACATTATCCATTTATGTCTACCATCCATTTGTGAGTGGTCATTATTTTCTTCAAATGTCTTCAACATTAACTTCAACTTTAAACTACAACAGTGTTTCCGGAGACCCAGACGCCACACAACACAGAGACACGGACGTTGTTAAAGCCAACACCAGCGTAGATAAGATGAATTAAGGAAGACTGAACATTTTGTTCATGTATTTACAGGCAACGTATTGTTAGAAAAAGGAAAGTCTGATGCAAATATAATTTTAAGATATTTTTGCTATTTTCCGTCACTATGAAACCGAACGCACCTGATCTTACGTTCTTGACTAGAGCCATCTTTGGATAGAACTCCCAAAATACTATAACAGCATAAACTCCTATATCAGCTTCCAGGTCTTTTTGAATCAACGTGTTTTTTGTGTCTTTTAGCAGAAACAAAACTAAAATGAAGTTAAAAGCTTTAAAAACAAAACTGTTTTTTAAAAGCAGTTTTAAAGATACGAAATCTTGACGTTCCACTGTTAACAAGAAGAGGTAGATCGATAGCGTGTTCTCGATTACCAGTTGCCAAGCAGCAGTGAACGTGTCGAGTGCAGTGGTGAGTGTGTCTACCAACTTCGATTTAATACTCGAATGGTCGCGTTTGGTCTTACGCGTCGGAAAATATCCTTCGCCGTACCTTTCAAGCCTCTTTTTATAAACGTCATATTATGTTTCAGAGTTTATCCCAGTATCAAATTTTCCGAAATATTAGATATCGTTTTACACATCTGGTTGTGATAGCATGCTTAGTGGTCCTCGTATTCTTCTCGACGACTCACTTTCTTTCAGAATACCGAAACTCTATTCTGAAAACAAACTTTAACTACAGAAATAAAGACAAATATGACCTTGAAAATATCGAAATGGAACCTGTTCGTGGAAAAAAGAATATAATTTTTTTAGAGACCATGTGCTCAATACAACCGAATGAAATTGACGATACAGGTTTACTTTTAACGAAACGACAAGCCTGTTCCATTGAGTCTGCAGCCAAAATTAACTCCGATGCGTCAGTTCATCTGTTGTACACATGCTCTATGAATGGCGGAATTAAGACATCTCCTGAATACGTGAAGAGGTTATTCAAATATCCGAATATTAAAATATGGAAACTGGATATACCAGAATTCCTATCAGGAACGCCACTACAAGACTGGAACTTCAAGGAATATCTTGAGACGTCCAACTGGCCAGTGGAACATTCCAGTGACATACTTCGCTACGTGTCTTTGTTAAAGTACGGCGGTACTTATCTTGATTTGGATGTCGTCATTAGGAAGTGAGTACACTTGGTGGGGCATTTGTGCACTAAAATGTTTGGTTGAGGTAAGTAATGTGAGATGATAAAGTTGCGTCATATTGTGATAAATATATATTTGTTTAAATCTTGTCAGTCTAATCACAATAAAATTCCTATTAAATATTAAAATATTACTATAATTAACATTTAAATATTTAAAATATATTAAATGATGTTCTCTAT